CCCCCCCCCCACTGGGTTGAGATAGGAATAGTTAGAAGTGAGATGGAATGGTGGAGGGATGCTAGAAAACTGTCAAGGAATAGAGGTAAGTCTGCTGTGTATATATATCTCTTATCTTGTTAATTGAGTTGATTACTGAATATGCTCCTCTCGTGTTAATTATCTGAACGTGCTCCTCCCGAACTTTAATAAAACATAATTTTGTGTGGATGTTCATGTGCAGTGTTTGGTTGAAGGTGTTCTTCATGTGTGTGTATGATCAGGGCTGGAGAACATGTACCAGCTGACACGCAACAGGAAGTACATGCTGAGAGTGGATCTGGAGGACTTTGAAGGAAGGAAAGGTTTCGCTCTGTACTCATCCTTCTCTGTGGATTGTGAATGTGCTGGATATCAGCTGCATGTTTCAGGATTCACTGATGGAGGAGCAGGTAGGACACTTTCATTTATACTCAAGAAAACTCATTTCCATTGAGTTATTGTCCTTAGTGAAGTTCTTCCTCTCTGCAGGCGACTCTTTATCTGGTCATAATGATCAGAAGTTCTCCACCTTCGACAAAGACCAAGACACCTATGAAAAGAACTGTGCCAAACAGTATCTCGGGGCATTTTGGTACTTAGCCTGTCACAATACAAACCCCAACGGTGTGTATTTATGGGGAGAAGATGACACCCATCATGCCATTGGAGTTGTTTGGGCAACATGGAAGAATTACGCAGTCAGTATGAAATCCATCAGCATGAAGATCAAACGTGTGTCATAGAAATATTACAGTGCTTCTGAAAGAAAAACATTTTTACCTCATTTTATGACATCTTAAGGTTTTTATTCCTTTTTTTCTGCGTAAAAGAATCATGTTGAAATCTGTCTTTGAAATGTATGGCTGTTTGTATAGTGCATTAAAATATTTTGTGCAGTTATGATTCTTCACTACCTAAATATTCAATAAACTCTTATAGTGAATTCAGACTATTTATCTAAATCTAAAAATGTGAATACTACTAGGTTCCTGACTGTGCACCATGTGTATTGTCGAGTCCCCTCAGAATCGAGTACAGGAGCTCAGTATCGGGCCCGATACCGATACCGATACTCATTAAAACACATTTCCATTGGGTTACTGTCCTTAGTGATGCTCTTCTTCTCTGCAGGCGACTCTTTATCTGGCCATAATGGATTCAAGTTCTCCACCTTCGACAAAGACCAAGATGTCTATGAAAAGAACTGTGCCAAACATTATCTTGGGGGATTTTGGTACTCAGCCTGTCACAATACAAACCCCAACGGTGTGTATTTATGGGGTAAAGATCCCACCCATTACGCCATTGGAAATGTTTGGTCATCATGGAAGGGTTACGCTGTCGGAATGAAATCCATCAGCATGAAGATCAGACGTGTGTCTTAGAAACATTACAGTTCTTCTCGGAAATAAACAACAAAACAATCAATTTAATGTTTAATTGTTTCCTGTTTTCTATTAACTGTGTAACTTAGTAAATCATGTAGGAAAATCACTATCATAAACTTATGTCTGTTTATGAACTATTCTTTGTTTTTGGTCAAAATCATACAATTAGAATAAACTCCTGCACTGAAATCATTATGTCAGATGTGTTTATCTCCACAACAGACACCAGAAACACTAAATGAGAAATTCAGTGGAACCATAGCTGCTGACAAACCAATAATAAAAGGAGCATTAAAAACTCAGAAAATGTTCTTATTAACCTCATAGACATTACACACACAGATCGACCCAAAATGCATTTGACATTCTGATGATAACTCCAGTTGTGTTCCATGGGATAATGCATCATAACCTCACATAAAATAATACATGCAATTATTCCAATTTGCTTACTGCATGTTTCACTGACTGAAGAACTAGCTCACAGCATTAGGCCCATTTATATGCTCTTGAATTATGAATCGAAACAAGACAGGAGTGTTTGGCTTCTGAGTTACTCAAACATTGCATATACACAGTGTAGAGCCCGATGCTGAATGCTTTGCAAAGGAGAAATATTGTAAACGCCTCCCACTATATAATCGACTGTTGTATCATATTTGCTTTTGCCACAATTCGAGGTGAAGACTTCTTGCTGTTTACTTTTGATTTTATTACTTATGAGTTATTGTTTTTAATAAAGCGAAACCATTTCCAATGGTGATGCGTTAAACTTCTTTTAAACAAGTCTCTGAGTATTTTATTGAGAGTAACCTATTATCTGAACTTGAATATAAATCTCCTGTGGAAGTCCCATAGCAGCACGGACACCGGGTGGGAAATCTTGAAACTTCTACTTCATCTCCCGATACAAGAGGTAAGGGCGTATTTATTCCTTGCTACTCTTGTGGGAAACAAAGATGTGAGTTAGAGGATTTATGAATTCCTTAATCGGTCTAGAAACATAACAACAGTGATGAATCAACTTTGAACCGCAAAGATAAACTTTATCTCTGTGTTTGGAAGAGACATTCTGGATTCAAACGAGTGAAATTGGCAGCACTGATCATATTTTATGCACAAAAATCGATAAAATAAAACAAAATTGAATTATTGAAGGTAAAAGCTTCTTCGCCAGGAGCCTGGTAATGTTTTAAGACTAGCTGTGGCGCCATCCTGTGGATATCAGACGACACACATCAGCAAACAGCATGCATGTATTTGTGTATATACAGTGGGTATAGAAAAAAAATCAGCCCTGTTTAAAATAATCACATTTTGTTGCTTTGCAGCCTGAAATGAAGACGGACACAGTTTTTGTTTTATCCAGCTGTATGTACTCAGTGCATCGTATAACATCCAAGTGAAAGATAAAACACCAACATGTCAGAAAAAAAAAAAAAAAAATAAAAAAACTGAATCAGTTGGACAAAAGATCCCCATTTTGTTGAACCAGCTAAAAAAAAAAAAAAAACATTCACTGAGTTGGAAAAGGGATCCCCCTCTCCTAAAAATGACTTGTGAAATCAATCAGGTGCAGCTGATCACCTTCTCAGTGGCACACAAATCCATTTGACTTTCAGCTGTGATCAGCTGTGCTCATTTTGATCAGCTCAGCATGAAAAGAGCGTTCCTGGAGCATTTCAGTCCTTGCTAGAGCAACTGAAGCAAACAATAAGCTATGGGTGGCAAGACACTGTCAGAAGATCTCTGGGATAAAGTTGTGGACATGCACAAATCAGGAGATGGAGACAAAAAAATTTCAAAGGCTTCATCAATGCCTAGAAGCACAGTGAAGTCTATTATTAAGAAGTGGAAGGTATTTGGTAAAACACAGACCCTCCCTGGATCAGTACGTCGCTCCAAACTGATGAAAGAGCCGGAGGAAACCGATCAGAGAGGAGACCGAGAGCTACAGCAACTCTGAAGCAGCTGCAGGAGTTTATGACAAAGAGCGGTCATTGTGTGACAACAATATCACAGATTCTCCACTAATGTGGCTTGTATGGGAGGGCTGAAGAAAAAAAGCCACTCCTCAAGAAAGGCCACATGCAGTCAGACTGAGCTTTGCCAAAACACACCTTGAAGATTCTGAGGCAGATGAGACTAAAACTGAATTATCTGGCCTCAACACCAAACGATATGTCTAGTGGAAATCCTGCAGTAAAGCATGGAGGTGCTGATGTCCTGTTGTGTAAAGTATGTATGTAATTTGGATGCATACTATGATTAACCAAAATATATCAATTGTGCAGTATACCGGCTGAAAGCTGGACATTCTTACATTATTAAAACCGGCACGTCACTGTAAACAAATTTCTCTTAAATCAAAAATCATGAGCAATTATGAGAATCTAAAAGTATGTCAAACTGCTTGCAGTGTGGGTTTCACATATTTCTGCCCATGGAGAGTGAGATTTACACATCCACTGTAATTGTGTGTCTTTCTCTTCGGATCATTCATCATCACCGGCAGCGGCACGCTTTCAGTTCACGTCTCGTATATCTATTCCCACTGAAGAGAATCAACTCAACCGTTTACAGCAGTGCACATGTACAACTACGGTTCACGGTTCAGACACAATTCTAGTCTAGTCAAAGTCTAGTTCAAGAATTTATAGAATAATTCATTTAAAGTAGGAGTTTATTGAAGGTTTATGAAGTGACAATTCATCTAAATATGGATTCAGTTGGTTTTAATGTGCTACACGAGCAGCTATACACGTAGATGAGAAATACTCAACACGTTCACTCAGTTACACAGCAAAGAGGGGAAATATTGTTGTTAAGCTCTTGAATAATCAGGAAAGATTTCCCCTTCAGGAGTACTGTATTGTTTCTAAGAAACATATTTGATCTTCATGCTGATGGATTTCATACTGACTGCGTAATTCTTCCATGTTGACCAAACAACTCCAATGGCATGATGGGTGTCATCTTCTCCCCATAAATACACACCGTTGGGGTTTGTATTGTGACAGGCTAAGTACCAAAATGCCCCGAGATACTGTTTGGCACAGTTCTTTTCATAGGTGTCTTGGTCTTTGTCGAAGGTGGAGAACTTCTGATCATTATGACCAGATAAAGAGTCGCCTGCAGAGAGGAAGAACTTCACTAAGGACAATAACTCAATGGAAATGAGTTTTCTTGAGTATAAATGAAAGTGTCCTACCTGCTCCTCCATCAGTGAATCCTGAAACATGCAGCTGATATCCAGCACATTCACAACCCACAGAGAAGGACGAGTACAGAGCGAAACCTTTCCTTCCTTCAAAGTCCTCCAGATCCACTCTCAGCATGTACTTGTTCTTACGTGTCAGCTGGTACATGTTCTCCAGCCCTGATCATACACACACATGAAGAACACCTTCAACCAAACACTGGACATGAACATCCACACAAACACACACACGCTGTGCGATCTTACCCAGCCAGTATTCTCCCTCCACATTCCCAAATCCTCTCTTGTACTGATTCCACGGCCGATAGAAATTCACACTGCCGTCCATTCTCCTCTGAATCACCTGTGATGGGTTTATAGAGAATATATGATTCATAATGAATGTGCTGATGTGTGTTTAATGATCTAAAGTCGTACCGTCCATCCTCCTTTATCTTCATCTTTCCCATCTGAGATCATCTGACAGTAAACCCAGACAGGAATGTCTCCTGCTGGATAGATGGAGTAAATCCCACTGACTGTTTCTCCTGAGTTATAGATATCAGAACAGTCAAACTGCATGAATTTACAGTCACTGCCCAATACAACTGGGAGAACAGACGCCAAAAACAACATTATCTACACAAGACAGAGAGAGAAAGAGATGAACGTCACAACGAAAATTGAACAAATATGAAACAAGAGTTTAGAATACTTGACACTGAAGAAAACCAATGTACTCACTGCCATCTTCTCAATCAGAGATTTGTTTTTGATCTAAACAAAAAGTTAAAACTTCCAGACTGTCTGTAAGGTAAATGCTGGAGAATACAGCAGTAAGTCTATGCTTGTGTTCTTCAGTCTTTGATTACACAAACACTCCTTCAAATATCTGATTTTCAAGCGCCTCCTCTGCGTCTATGAGTCAAAGTCCATTTGTGGCAATCTTGGAAAAGTCCTATTGCTGTTTTCACATTCAGGGATCATCCAAAACGACGCTGCTATTACAGAGAATGAACAGCACTTTGCTGAATTCAGATGCGTGTATGATAATTTACTCTGCTGCTATAAAAATCAGATCTCTGAAAGACTCAAAACAAGCGTGAGATATCAAATCACTTTCATTCACAGAATGAATTACACATTGCATATCGTAAGTGAACTTTAGGGCAGTGCAGTGCAGACCTTGCCAAGTTAACTGTGTCACCAACAGTACGTGTTGATTGTTCAATTGTTTTATTACACACTAGTTTGTTTCCCACAAGCTCAAAGTTCGTGATCAACACCTTCATGTTGAGTAATATCAGACAATTCTGACTGTCAGATTACAACCATTTATTTGTTTATGATCAGAAT